ATAAGTTTTATTTGAATAATGTTTTCAAAAAATAAGGACTATTAAAAAAATAATTTAGGTGAGAAAATAAAACAAAAAACAGCTAAGAAAAGGAAACCATAGCCCACACCAGATAGTTTTCAACCATCCATCCTTTCTCGCAGCTGTGATTCCTGCCTTTTCACGATCTGGAAAGAAGCGTTTCGATTCTTCAGAGCAAAGATGTTGGTCCTCTTGATCTATACTTATAACCATGAATGTGTTTGGGTTGGATACGCATGGGTATGGCGAAGATCAGTGGGGAAATGAGCAGTAAAGATCAGTCAGATTCTCATCCATATGCATTCCAAGCTTCAGGACCGCGAAACCTTTCTTCTCCCAATTGGAGAGACCTCATCAATTCCAGCTGGTTTGTCTACTTTCCCATTTTCTGATAGATGCTCTATGTTCTCCTTTTGGATTCTTGTCATTCATCTAACTATTTCTTGTCTGTTTTTCGTGATATTTTTACCTTTTCGTTTTTACTAGTTAATGTTTGTATGTCAATTTTCTGTTTATATTATCCTCAGTGTTTGGACCATTTTGACCATCTAATGCCTTTAGAACTAAAATTAACAATCAGATCTAGCCGCCCTTGTTACTTTGTTAGAATGTAACTAGTGATCACAGAGATTTTTTTTGTCCTAGATTCAAATTAGTGGAGCTACCCGTCCAGGTTTGTTTGTGTAATAATGATTTTAGTATTTGAAGGAAGATACATGACAGGTGAAAATTATCTATATGTAGCTTCGAATTATTCAAAAATAAAAAATATCAATCTAAGACCTAAAATATCACGAATTTTACTTGTCAAAATGTTAAATATTTTGAATTTTTTTAACTTCTTCTTTTTGGTTGTGAATGTTTTTTAACTTTATTAAAATAATAATTTTTGTGAAAAAAATCATCAAAACTTAACAACAACATGAATAAAAAATGAAAGAAATCAAAATTTATGTTATTTTAGTTTTTTGTTTGATAGCTTTCAATCATTGAGGCCCCTTATCCAACACTTTCATCTTTCAGGTACTAGATTGATAGTTAACCTATCAAATTTTATTAAAAAATTATCATATTCCAGTTCAATTTTTATGATTCAATAGATAATTCAATAAATACATAAATTTTAAGCTTTTATTCTAATAACAATTTTGTAAGGAAGAAGTTAGATTTTGTAGTTGAATTATCAAAAATGAGCTGCATCCATGAGTTTTCGCAAACCAAAAGCATGTTTGTGCTCCTTAATTGAGAAAATTCTAGAAAATTATAAACATGTAGAGGAGTTAGTTCTCTAGACAAGTATGTATTGTCTGGGAACTCTATGGAAGCTTCTGAAAAAGTGAGAGAAACATCGAACAATCCAACTATGACACCTAAAGAGTGTTATTGTTTGAGCCAGAGTTTTCTTGGGAGAGAAGTGACAACTCAAGGAAAAAGCTTTTCATTATTGCAAATGAATGTGGTAGGATAAAGTAAATACCAAACACAAATAGTGATCTACATTTCACTATATAATACCTAGTCACTTACAGTATCATATTGTGTTTTTGTGTTAGTGCCTACAAAACATATGTTTTCATAGAGTTGATTTGATCGAGTCCTTCTACACGAATATGAAGGCAGAGCTCCTATGAAATAAATTAGTGTCTAAAATTTGTTTTGGCAAAGAGATGCAAGGGTAAGTAAAAACTTCATTAATCCCACTTTTGGTCCCACGACTATAAGGTGATTCCTACTTTAGTTTTCAACTTTTATTTTCCCACTCTTTGTCCCAAGGTTGTATACTTGTTATTAGTTAGTCCTTCCGGCCACTTTCCCGTAGTATAATCAACCCTACAGAGTATGGAAATAGCCTGAAAAGTGGCTGGAAGGCCCTTAAATTACAAAATGTATGACCGAAAGTGTAAAAAAGGGAAGTCAAAGACCAAAAGTAGAAATCCCAATAGTCATGGGACCGAAGTGAAATGAATTCTTATGTGCATCTGATCAGTGTTTGCTCATGAGTTTGATATAAATCTGGTAACTTCACTGGTGGTGGTCATTTATACATGTATACATGTACAGGAAGAATGAGAACTATAGGAGGACAGTGATGGCCTGTTTGGTACAATCAGTGTACTTGCTTGAGCTAGACAGACAAGAAAACAGGAAAGCAGGAAACGCTCTTGCCCCAAAATGGTGGTCACCCTTCAATTACAGACTGGGGGAGACACTAAGAGATGAAAGGGATGGATCCATATTTGGGGCTGTCCTGAAATGGGACCGAGCAGCCGCATTATCTGACCTCATTCCTATCAGGCCAAGCGGTGCACCAAGTGCCGTTCTAGCACTAAGAGGAACCCTTCTCAAGACTCCAACCATGAGAAGGGACATCCAAGACGATCTACGCTACCTAGCTTTGGAAAGCTTAAAGGGGTCTGTTAGGTTCAGTGTGGCCCAGAAAGCACTGAAGGCTCTTGCAGCAAAGTACGGAAGTAAAAATGTGTGCATTTCCGGGCATTCACTAGGGGCGGGATTCGCTCTTCAAGTGGGAAAAGCATTAGCTAAACAAGGAATATATGTTGAGGCACATTTGTTCAACCCGCCGTCGGTTTCGCTGGCTATGTATTTGAGGAATATCGGGGAAAAGGTTTGGTTGGTTTGGAGAAAGTTCGTCAAATCCGTGGCAGCCCCGCCATTTTCAAGCTCTTTGCAGATTGGGATGGGGCAATGGGTACCACATCTGTACATAAACAACAGTGATTATATATGTTGCTATTACATTGATTCATCATCATCATCATCTGGCGGCGACGGTGATGAGGAGACAAGGGCAAGGAACAGTCCAGCTGTTGCTGCGAAACTCTTCCTATCTGCTTCAAAAGGGAAGCAGAAGTTTCTTGAAGCTCATGGACTGGAGCAATGGTGGTCTGACAGCCTGGAACTTGAAATGGCGGTGAATAACAGCAGGCTGATAAGCCAGCAACTGAAATCCTTGTATAACCTTCCGCTCCCGCAAACACAGGGAAAACACTAGTAGGCAATGCAAAAGAAAGTGCACGCATACGCCATTTCTGTGTTCAACAAAATCACTGCATTTGTTGTTCCAATGCTTTCATCACCACATCCTATCATAGTATCATCCATACTCCTTTGTCCCTTAATAATGATCCCCCATATTATTTCACCCATGTCTTGAATAGTTGAACACATTAAGAAAAGGAGAAAATAATTTAAATATCTCAAACTTTGAAAGAGTGTGATATAAGCATCCCAAACTTGCATGTGTAATATATATATATATATATATATATATATATATATATATATATATATATATATATATATATATATATATCCCAAACTTTTTTATAAAAAGTTATATTAGTACCATGATCATATATTTTTTCACAAATGTAATTCTATGGTGTTAAGTACATAACTCAAAATACACAAAACTTTATGAGGATGAAATTAGATTTAAAATGTTAACGGCATTCTAACAAAGATTAAAGTATTTTAAATTATGTAATTATTCCAATAAATTTGTAACAAATATACAACAATGTGTGAAAATAACTTTTTATATAAAGTCTGAAATATATATTACATATGCAAGTTTGGGGTATTTATCTCACACTCAATAATGTTTGAGGTATTTAAATTATTTTCTCCTTAAGAAAAATATTACAAAATCAATTACAAGTAACAAAATATTCTCGCTTCACAAAAATATAAAGATATTATACTCAAAAATTCATGGTGGATAAATATTTCATTATGCTAAAAATAAATTAATTTTAATCACACAGGGTGTAGTTTGTTTGAAATTATGTTAATAACTAATTTAATCTCATAAAAAAACTAATTTAATCAATAAAGGGGTGGATGTAGTATGTACTTATAATTAATTTAAGTTGCAAATGTATGAATACATTTAAAAAATCAGTTTATAAATATACTTTGAGTTCAAGACAAAGAAAATACTTAATGAGTTATATGTGAAATTAAAATTGTAATTATATTGAAGCAGTTTAAGTTTAAAAAAAAAAGAGGCAAAAGTGAAACAAAAATTATAAGAACAAAGTTGGTTTTGGAACACAAAACTTCACAATAGCCAAACACACGCACAGAGCAACAATTTCACTCTGCGGAGATGATTTCTTATTATCGTACGCACAATTCGTTATGTTTAAAGTCTTTTGGTCTGGAAATTACTAAAACAAAAAAAATTATTTGTACCCACTAATGTACCCATTTTTGTACCCACCATGTCTGTGAGGATTTTTTTTGTCTGTTAATCCCAGTCATAGAAAAAAATATGTCTATGTAGACATGATGAGTACAAAAGTGGGTACAAGAAGAAGCTCTCTTACTAAAAACAGGATAAAAAACAAAAAAAATGATCCCTTTTTAAAAATTCTAAAAATGTGACCAACACCACAATTAAATCCCGCACTACAAAGTGACTTCAGCCAAAGTGACTCCGTCGTCACAGTGACTAACCACCGGCCACAGTGAGTACCCCACCGGCCATAGTGACTGCCCCACCGGCCACAATGACTACCCACCGGCCATATGACATCGCCACAGTGACACCACCGCCTCCAGCCATAGTGACACCTCGGCAGTGACATTTTCACAGTGAAAACTCTGCACTGACACAAAATTATTCCGTTCACCGTTATTCCAGCCATCACCAAACACCACTGTCCCACCCCCACTGCTTCTCCCCATACACCGCCTACTTCCATTTCACCTCCCCATTCCAATGCCCAGCACCAGAAAACCCCCAATCTAGAGCCCCGCCCCTTGATATGCCCTAACCACCATTCCCATTTCCTGGTTAGACCACCCCAACCCTCAATCCACCCATCCCTGGCCTCAATCTAGCCCCAATTAGCCTAGCCAAGACTCATCGCACCATTTCCCACGCTCAAGCCCCAATCTTTGCCGCCAAACCGCCGCCAAGCCGCCGCCTCGGCCAAAGTAAGGGGAAGAAGAAAAGTGCAGACCTGGACGAGATGGCATGGGTCAGCTACGACGAAGAAATCAGAGGCGGTGGGGGTTGATTGTGACGAAGACAACAATGACGGCTAGGGTGGCTGAGACGAAGACGATGACAACGTGCGTGCATTGGCTACGAGGAAGTCGGCGCTGGTCATCTCCTTCACTCCATCGCTGATTGCTAGTAGGTCTGGACAGAGGAGATGCATCGCAGTTCGTTCCAAGAGGGATAGTGAGAGTCGCAGTGTCGTTACGAGGGGGAGATAGAGCGATAGGCTGGAGGTTGAATTTTTTAAATCACATTTTTGGAAAAATAAAAAGGGGTCATATTTTGGTCCTTTAAAAGTGGCTAAGTCATATTTTTTAAATGGTTTTGGACATTAACTATTGATTAGCGGCCGTTCTGTCTAGGGTTTCGCCTAACTCTTTTCGTTTGGTGGTGATCATCCGATCGTCAGCCGGTTTCTGAAGGTGGTTCAGCCTGTTACAGGAGAGCCCAGTTTCATAGGAAGGCTGAGGGATCTTCTCAGGCGGTTATTTACGAGCTTGTTTTTTGCCACAATATGAGTATTGTGACTTAGAATTGCAGGGGGCTGGGGAATCAGACCACGAATCTGAGCCAACAAAGTATTTTGCTAGAACTCGTTCAACACAGGTACTATTCCTAAGGAATTAAATATTACTTATATCATTTTAATTCCTAAGAAAGATAAACCTGAGAAGTTGGGGGATTGGAGACCGATTGCACTCTGTAATGTGGTTTACAATTTTTTTCCAAAGTTTTGGCAAACATACTGAAAGGGCTTTTGGGAGCCCTCATTGGAGATAATCAGAGTGCTTTTATTCTGGGACGCTCTATTGTGGATAATATAATAGTGGCTTTTGAGACACAACATTTTCTGAAAAGGAAACAAAATGGGATGAAGGGGTATGCGGCTCTGAAGCTGGATATGAGTAAGGCATATGATCGGGTTAGCTGAGATTTCCTACGACAGATCATGAGTAAAATGGGATTTGCGAATAAATGGGTGGAGTTGATTATGACGTGCGTCTCGACGGTGAATTATTTTATTCAATTTGACATGGATTTGTTGGGGCCAATTTCACCAGGCAGAGGGCTTCGGCAAGGAGATCCTTTGTCACCGTATTTATTTATTTTAGTAGCAGAGGAGCTGAGCTCGATGATTAACAGAGCGAAGGCTAGGGGAGTCAACCATGGGGTGGCGGTGTGTAGGGGGCACCAAAAATTACCCATTTATTTTTTTGCTGACGATAGTTTTTTATTTTTAAAGCCAACAGGGGAGAATGTGAAAAATATATTACCGATATATTGCAGGTGAAAAATATATTACTGACTTATGAACAATTGTCAGGACAGATGGTGAACTATGATAAATCCTCCGTGGTGTTCAGCCCAAACACGGCCAAGGCAGTCCGGGTGGAGTGTAGAGCGGCGCTCAAAGTACTCGAGGAGGAGGAACATGGGAGATATCTTGGCTTACCAGCGCTAGTTGGCAGCAATTTTGGGCTATATTCGAGACAGAGTGTACTCCAGAATTAAAAGCTGGAATAACATGTTTTTATCAAGAGCAGGAAGGGCGGTTCTGTTGAAAAATGTGGTGCAAGCTATGCCTTCTTATGCTATGAATGTGTTTATGCTACCGAAGGAACTTTGTGACGAGATAGAAAAACTTATGAATGACTTCTGGTGGAGGGGATCAAAGCTGGATCAGAAGGGGTTGCGATGGAGGAGTTGGACAAATCTAATTAGACCAAAGGAGATGGGGGGACTGGGTTTCAGACGACACAGAGAATTTAATCTAGCCAAGTTAGCTAAACAGGGGTGGAGGCTAATTACAGATGAAAGCAGTCTGGTGAGCCGAATACTGAAGGCAAGGTACTATCCTAATTCTTCATTCTTAAATGCTAAATTGGGTAGTAACGTAACCCGTCATTTATTTGGAGAAGTATTTTTGAAACCCAAGAGGTGCTGAGAGGAAATATCCGAAGGCGAGTGGGCAATGGAATGGATGTCCAGGTTTGGGCTGATGCTTGGTTACTAGGGGAAGGGGCAGGGAAAATTATTACCTCCTCGAGACCTCAAGGAGTTAGAGATATTAACTCGGCAGCCCTTAGAGATATTACTGGGAAAGCTTGGAATAGGGAAAGAATTTTACCCCTTTTAAATGTGTCCGATCAGGAAAAAATTTTCAGCATTCCTATTAGTTCTCAAAATAGGAAGGATGATTATTGGTGGAATGGAGAGGCAAGGGGGGTGTTCTCTGTTAAAAGTTGTTACCGAATTCTGGTAGGAGAGATGATTTCCGATGAATGGGGGCGGGGGGAAATCGTTGTGGAATCTAGCGGTTCCGCCGAAATTCAAGTACTTAGCATGGCAAATGTTAGACGGTACCCTTCCTACGGTTGATAATCTAAGGAGGAAAGGAGTGAGCATTCAAACTGGATGCAATTTGTGTGGTGCCTCGTCTGAATCGGTTGATCATGCACTACAACAGTGCGCATGGGTCCAACAAGTCTGGGAACAGGAAGGAATACAGGTGGAGCTGGAACGACCGGTAGGTGAATGGCTTCGAGGAAGAATGGATACGGGCAGTATGGAGGAAAGAGGTAAGTTTGTGTCATTATTATGGAGTATTTGGAAAAAAAGAAATAATACGATCTGGAAGGGGCAGAAAGACCCAACAACGAGTGTTGTCAATGGTTCCATGAGCATGGTTTCCGGACGGAAGGATGCTCAACAAGAACCAGCACGAGCCTCGATGCGGGCTACAAACGAGGTTTGTAAATGGTAGCGGCCAGATAGAGGTTTTATAAAAGTTAATGTGGACGGTGCTGTTAACGAGAATGGGGGAATAAGAGTCCGGGGACCAGGGATGGGTGGCTCGCGACGAAGATGGCGGCTTCGTCAGGGCAGCAGGTTCATCGACCTTGGCAAACTGGTCTGCGGCGGAAACAGAGGCAGTTGGCATCCGGGACGCGATGTTGAAGGCGGTGGCCAAAGGCTGGGATAGAGTGGTTTTTGAGTTGGACGCGCTTATGGTGGTTCAAGGAATTTTGAAGGGCAGCGGTTCAGCTTATTTACACCTTATTGTTGATGATATTAAGCATATTTTAGAATCAAAGAGTAATTTTGTTGTCTCTTTTTTGTAAACGGTCTGTGAATCGTGCGACTCATGCTTTGGCAAGGGCACACGTGTTGATCTCAGATCAGAAGGTTATATATGATGTTGCACCCCTTTCGATTGTAAGCCAATTGGCTAACGATTTACTTGATTAATGGAGTTGTTGATTTTGATGATAAAAAGTGTCTAGGTCATACATATGTCATTCTTTCTATGTTTAACACACAAATATATTTATAATTGTTGTAGGGAGAATTGTGTAGAGTTGCATTAGAGCATTACCAAACGCCCCTATAAATAGGTATAGATTAGAGTGTACAAGTACATGCCAACAGGCCCATAATACATACTCCCTCGGTCCCATCCATTTTAGTTAGCCAAACTTGACTTTTCAAGTCAATGACATCTAACTTTGACCGATTATATATTTATATAGAGAAAGTACTGATAATATGAAAATGTTCTTTTTAAAAAATACTATCATAAAAATATAAAATTATTAAATTTTGTATTAATATATTAGTTAAAATAATTGGTCAAAGTTTACCATCTTTGAATGGAAAAGTCAAAGATGACTAACTAAATTGGGACGAAGGTAGTAGTTTACATAGAATGATCCTAATACATATTCTATATAAACGATAACATACTATATAGAATTTCCTTCAACAGCCCCCTTGTGTTGAGTTGTAAATAAAATTTGGTATCTGTCTTTTGCCTCGTCAAAAACCTCTGTCGATAACAAAATTCCTATGAGAAAAAATAATCTTGATCGGAGAAAAAGAGTATACCATCAAAATAGGCTTCTTCCATTAAGAGCCCGTTTGGTAGCACCAAAATCGGCTGTTTTGGCTTATTCTGCTGAAATTTATGATATTCTGGCTGAAGTGGCTGTTTTGGCTGATTCTGCTGATTTAAGAAAAAAATATTTTAAAAATATATTTTATTAATAAATTAAAGAAAAAATTATATGTAAAAATAGCTAAAATGGTCCTCTACAGTAACTTCAGCCAATACAGCCAGAAAAGTAACTCCAACCTTACTTTTTCGGCTTATTACACAATTCAGCGCGCGAAAGTAAAAGTTACGTGTTTGGTGAAAAAGCTGGCTGATAAGCCTGATAAGCGGAAAACAGAGTTCTCCAAACGGGCTCTAAGTCTATCTTTATTTGATCCTTTCTTTGACCATTAAAGTTTATATGTATAGTTACCTCATTAAAAACCTTACCAAGTAAACCCACTGAGAAAAATAAAACTTGGTTAAAGGAAAAGAGTTTAAAGTAATGTAGGATGGGAATTCCCTCTCAAGTCTACATCTACCCTTAATATTTACATTAATCAAATTTGTCACATTAATTACTTAGCACATTAATTACTTAGTGAAGACATACAACTGCGTAAATACATTTCCTTTAACTCTCCCCCTGTGTGCTAAGCGTGAGGTGATAAGAGTAATAAAAACTATTGACATGCTAAAAACTTTGCCAATTAACAAAATTTAATGGGAAAATATAAACATCGATCAAAGGGAAAAAGAGCACAACAAACCAATATAATTGATGATAAAGTATGCCAAGACTCGCCCCTAAGAGCAACACATCAGTAAGAATCAAACATTTACTTGATACTTTTATCAAGGTATTTGGTACATAACATCTTGATTTCTTTCATGACAAATATGTATTCATTAAAAGAGTACCAACGAAATCAGAGCATATTCATCATCAATAAACTCAAATCACACTACTTTGATATTTCAATTCCTTTATGTATAATAGTGTTATCAATCGTTTAATTAAATTTAAAGGGATGCATAAATATTACGTCAATGGTTTCAAATAGATATGAAAGTACATTCTTGGTACCATTCCAATGACGAGGTACACTCTGTTGGTCCTGAGCTATTTTCACTAACATGTTCTTGAGAAAGCAATATTTGGTCGAGTATGTTTGTCGAAGTACAATAATGAGCACATTGCACTTATATAGGGAATTCCTTTTCCCACGAATTTATTGGTAATGTATCTTTTCATATATCCATATTTCGACCGATCATGAGAGTGCTAACAATTTGCATTTTATCCATGTTAATTTGCCTGAGAACTTCTTAAGGATATATGCAACTGGTGAATTAAAATTCAACCAACTCACTATTTTCAAAACACAATCGAGTTTCCCAAGATCTTTAATCTCAAGTATGGCTTTCAAATATCAAACATGTCTCATATTCCATTATGAGTACATATTAAGTCTATATCATGGAGATACAGTGATACTTGGAAATTCAGAACTTATTCCCATTATAAATGCGCAAGGCACAATCTATTCATTTTGCATCCCTTTCCATTTGAATGGCCACTTAGACGAATATGTCACTCTCGTCTGATTTAATCCAAATGTGAATGTTTTAATGTAAATGTAATTCAAAATCACTTGGTTAGAGATAATAAAAGCATAACAAATGCTTCATACACATCTCTTAAATGAAAGTCTATTGAGATATTTAATAGGCACAATCTTTAACTATGTCTCCATTACTTTGGAGGTTACTTATAGACTAAGTAGCTGAACATTTTGGCGTTCATAATAAAGAAGTGTAACTTCTCATATTTCAATCCAGGGCGTTCTGAGAATAATCAGGACCTCATTATCTCATCACGCTTTCTAACAGAGTTTACATGTACGGGTCAATAGACAATAGGCCCATCCTAACATAGTTTACATAGAGCCGATCCTAATATATATTCTATATATAAGGTTACACCCAACACATGGGGTGAAAACTCCAAATTTGAGCTATTCACCCCAAATATGTTCCAACCCTTATTTACTTGGCACGAAAGAGGAAGATAGCACGGAAGACAACAGTTGCATGCACGACCGAAGTAAAAAAAACCCTCCTTTTTACTTTCCATGAAAATTCCTTCATTTGGTTTCCTCTGGAGAAATCTTGAATTGACCTTTACCATTGTTCAGGATGTTGCATTTGCTTCCGAAAATGTGGAAGTGGCTTACATTTGGTTTCCTTCCTTTTAATAGCTCATAAGGGGTTTTCTTGTGAACCTTATAGGTAGGCCTGAACTCGGGCCGGTTCGGGCCCGGCCGGGCCTCGGTTCATGAAAGGGGAGGCCCGGAACCGGCCCGGGTAACCCGCGAGTCCGGGCCGGGCCGGGCCTCGATTCAATTTATATTTTTTTTGACTTTTCCTAATTAACCCCCAACCCTCCCCCCTCACCCCCAAACCACCCCAACCCAAAAACTTAAAAAAAATTCAAAAAAAGATAAAAAGAAAAAAAAAATTGGCATGGACCGGGCCTGAACCGGCCGGGTCGGTTCACCTTTTGAGAGGCCCGAGCCCGGACCGGAACCTGGCCGGCGGGTCGGGCCGGTTCAAACAGTAACCAGTTCGGGCCGGTTCTGGGGCGGGCCGCCCGGCCCAAGTCTAGGCCTACTTACAGGTGATGCTTATGTTGTGAATCTTTGGGAGTAATAAATTTGGAAATAGGCGTCTTTGAATGAATTATAATTAAAATCACTTCGAGATATGACAAATTCAAATAATTGAACTGATATTCATTTTAAATTGAGTTTCAGTTTTTATTTCATTAATTATCTTTCAAAACCTCCCAATTTGGGAGAACTTATGCCCTCCATTTGGAGGGTTTTTGAGGGTAACAAAAACCCTCCAAAACCACCCTTTCAATTTTTTAAACCCCCAACATGAAAAAGATGATCATAATCCTCACCAACCTTCATCTCCCATCCAAAACCCAACTCCCAAACGTATCCTTAGGATATTATGATTTGAACCGGGTTACATGGGAAGCGTATACCATACAGCCGGCTGTACGGCTGGCACCGTACAGCCGGTGGCAGTTTTGTAATTTTCATGAAATTCGTGGTTTCTCGTAAATGAGCATTGATGTAATTTTGATGAGCATCGAGCCTGTTCTTCTGAGTATTAAAATCCTAACAATGAGCACCAGTGATCTCTGCTTCATATTTTCTAATTCGATTTCTTTTTATGATTTTTTCATTTATAAAAATTAAAAATCTTAATTTATGTTTATAATTAATTTCAATATGTGAATCTAATGTAGTATGATATGTTTGATATGTGCATCATTTTAAAATGAGCATAAATCAGTACCAAATGAGCATACAAAATGAGCATACATAATTTATAAAATGAGTATCAAAAAAATTCAAAACTTTATTTGTGTATGCTCATTGATTTTGGGCGTTATATTTGATATGTGCATCATTTTAAAATGAGCATAAAACAATACCAAATGAGTATACATAATATACAAAATGAGTATCAAAATATTAAAAACTCATTTTGTGTGTTCATTCATTTTGGGCATAATACTCATTTGAATTTAACTTAAAACTCATTTTGAAATATGCATGAATATGACATTTTAAAAAGAGTATTGTACTAATATCAAATGAGTATACATATATTACGAAATGAGCGTTCAAAAAACTCATTTGAGTATGCTCATTCATTTTGGGTGTTATACTCATTTCAATTTTAAATGAAACTCATTTTCAATGTGTTCAATATTAGTTTGCGTAAGTTCATTTCTTTTAGGCGTATACTCATTTCTTTTAGGCTCATTTAAAATCACCACCATGCTCATATCTTTAGAATTACGTACAACCTAGGTTATCCCTGACCCAAAAACCACCAAACTAAAATAATCAATGTGAGAAAAATAGAAAAAGTAAAAGAAAGGAGCAGAGCGTGCGAAGTTAAGTACGAAGCTAAAGGAGAGCCGCTGAAGGATTGCGGTTGTCGACAAAGGGAGAGGTGTTAGTAGGCGGCGAGCAAGAATGATCGGCCATGGAAGCCTGCGATAGAAACCCTGCGATCACGGAAGCCTGAAATCCGCGAACTAAAAGTCCGGCTGTACCGTGCCCACGGTACAGCCGGCTGCACCATGTAATTGACGGGGTTACATGCCCAAATAGCTGAAGATTGGTGATGAGATTATTTGCTTGTTTGGGGAGTATGAAAAATAAAGAAACAAACAATTTCTCACTTTTTCTCCTTAGGCTAAATATCCTTAGGCTAAATATCACTTCATGACATCTAGAACATGTGAACTTATTTACCTGACTCTCCTTACCTCTCTTGTTGTTCTTCATCTTCAGCCCATCTTTATTGTGCCATTAGTTCTGCTCTTCACATTGCCTCACATTATTTCATGAAAATACAAAGCATATCAAGTTTGTCATTTATTTCCGATCATGTTCATGCCGACCTCATTTTCATGAAACATCTTTTATAACTCTAATTTTTACAACTCTAATACTAAATAACTGATGGACATCTTTACCAAGATTCTTGAGTCACCCAAATTTACACATTTACTATCCGATCTACACAATTATCACATTCTACCTTGAAGGGTGTAGAGAATAGAATACATGTATATATCTATTTCTTTTAGTATATTCAGTGAATAATCCCTTTTGTGTACGCTAGGAAGCTTGCCTTGTCTAGTACACTTGTACCACTGTCCATGTGAGTTTTATTACTCTCGGCCTATCGGGTATATATGCATGTCACTAGAAACAGATTTCTCCCTATTCATATATGCCTTGAGCAGTTTTCGTAGTTTTTATTAGTTTCCCAAAATTACTTAAATGTGAACTTCATGAAGTTTAAGGACTAAATGTACCAATTATAATTTGACAACTTTCTACTGATTCATTTCACAATTACGAAAACAAAAAACTTGCATAATATAAACTATTGTAAGCCTTCCAGCTGAAGCATGTAAATAACAAAACAATAATTAGCCTAACAGTGCCTAAGAATACTTGCTATTTCTATTTTTGCATCTGGAAAGCAATTGAGGGCGGGTGTTATTTGCTGGCTAAATCATCTTTCCTCCCTGCAAGAATCATGGAAATCTGGAGGCCTCTGCTGAAAGCTTGATTGAAGAGCAACCTTGTCTGGAATTCTGAAACAAATGGGAACCAAGAAAAGATGACTGTAGGCAAGAAGATTACAAGTGCCATGATACACTCATATGCTCTTCCCAACTCCCGCACTGAGTCCCACACTCCGACCCGTTTTAGACACGGCTTGCATGCTTGTCCAATCTGCAGACAAGACAGAGAGAGCAGTCTGTCGTGTCAGTATCTATTTACTGAAAATATGGAGAAGCTTATGTACAACAACAATAACCAAGTCATGATCCCAAGAGTTTGTGATCAGCTAACATGAATCGACACATGACATTGAAAATAATAAATAGATAAAAAGGGAGACAAGCAAAATCAGATAATCCTCCACACATACTTTTCCCCCACTTCACTCTCTCCAAAGTCACTCTCATCTAACCCAAAAGTACCATATCATTCTTGACCACTCTAATACACCCTTGTCTATACGTTGCCCTCTCTTTCTCCTCCATGCCTCTTCTCCCCACATCTCAATTCGAGGTGCCATCACTCAATCTTCTACACACTTGACCAAAATGAACTTCATGCTTTTCTTTTTAGGTCGTCCTAAAATAATCTTTTGTTCCCTTTTAAAGGAAACAATTGCACCTTTAATTGCAATTGCAACTTTTTCAATTGCAATTAATCATTTCACTCTTTTCTACTCAAATTTCAATTGCACCCTTTTCATTCCAAACAAGAAGTTTAGTTCAAGACAAAGGGAGAAATGTATAAGCAGTCCTGCTATAAAACAGTCTAATATCAAATTCACTATGGGTCATCTGGAAACAGTCTCCCTGTGCTTTAGTACAGGGGTAAGGCTGCGTACATCTGACCCCACCTTACCCCACCATAGGTGAGAGCCTTTGCGGTACTGGGGTAGGGGTGATGATGATCAAATTCTTATATAATACTACCTCCATCCCCCTATTATTGGGACAAAAAAGACTGATACAGTTTTTAAGAAAAGTAGAGTTATGTGAGAATAAAGTAAGAATGAATTAGAACCACACAAATATTACCAAATATGGTATGAGACAAAATTAGTGGGAGGGACGAAAAAGAAAAAAACGGGACAATTATAGTGGGACGGAGGGAGTAATTACAAATTATGAAAAACCATTTTTGAATTTCTAAACAGAAATTACAACAAAATGTACGATAAAATATGAATGCATAATAATGTATTTTATGAAATATTAGGTTAAACTACTATTCCATAAAGTAGTCTCGTGTTTAGTAGGGAGAGTATATTGCAAATTTAGTAATTTACAAGCACAGAGACACTACAAAGAGAATAAAATATGGGAATATTTGCAGTCAGCAATCTCCTTGGGCCTTGTGTTTCATAAATAAGCATTTCAAATGTTAAACACCAAAAAAGAAAAAAATTCATTTATGAAAGAGGAAAATATAATTGAGCACTCAGAAAAATAGAGGCAAAGATTTGGGATATTTCCATTCGGAACCTAGGGACTAAAAACGCAACTAACCACAGAAACAAAGATGGAACTCACAAGTAGAAGACCCCAGCCTGTGGGCAAAAAGGCCAGAAGAGCGGCAAATAAATCGCTCACAGTGAGGCCACAGACCACAAAAAGCACAGTCATGACGGATGAAAAACCAAGGAATAGAAGTGCCTTCAAAATTCTGAACATGAGCTGAAAGTCAGTGCCAAATCTCCGCCTTCCCATTGAAACCATCTGTTTTTAGAAAAAATAATAAAGACAGTGAAACTTCGGTCAAATTATTATTCTCTCTTTTTAAAGAAAAAAGAAAAAAATCCGTTCAGCTATGGATTATCAGAGGTTGTTCATAATGGCACTCATATTAAGCTCTCCTAGTTTAGAGAGAGAAGTACTAAACATATTGTAAAGCTGGAAACATACGGAACCCTGTGTAAACCATACCTTAAGGACAAGAAGAACAGTGACCATAACAAACCAAGAAAGTCCATACACCTGTCACAAATGAATTTATGATGAAAAGTTAAAGATAGACAACAAGATTGACATTCGTGAAGAGAAAAATGCTATGGAGACAGCAGCATTACCAGTACACTCCTGCTTCCATGAGCTATATCAAGGTGATAGACAACTCCATATTGGTAAATGAAAAACCGAAGTGAAAGGATGATCTCAAGCAATCTACCCCTTATACTGGTGTGATTCAGATGTTCTTGTTCTTCATCCCACCAGGATTCCCAACTTTTATCAGCAGAAATCCCAATGCCACCACGGTTCCCCATCCACCTCTTCCAGTCAGTCCAATCATCCACCGTTTTCTGCCAGTCGTATCCAGATGGATTGAACACGAAAGGAGCACACAGCCACGACCCAACTAAAAACCACATCGATACAGTTATAAACCAGTACAGCTTGGAACTCCGATATGATTCCCCATAAACTTCATAAACAACTAACAACATCAACAGCTCGAGACCCTTCACAAAGTGACTGCGAGAGTAGAGTCTGTAGTTATCAGCATACTTGGCATGGAAAACAACAAAACCACGACCAGTAGCCCGGTACTTGGAACCTCCATGTAGAAGAGTTCTGCCATAGTAATGCGCTTTTGTTCCTAGCTGGAACGTGAAGAAAACAGAAGCAAGTTGCAATTGCATTACTATGAAATCTCCAATAGCAGTGAGAAATCCTCTCTCCAATCCAATTTCCACTACCATAGGAAATACTAGTAATAAACCTAGCTGAAACACAGACTGGGTCGCCAAAGTCTCTTCGAGAGCCTTAGCCTCACTAACAGAAGGATCCTCCAGAATCCATTTTTCCAACCCACTCAAGACCATATACAAACGGCCATATAGAAATACATAAACGGTTAACACAGTAACCTGGAAAAGACGTCAATCATAACAACTTCAATGGCTTCGTGTTTTAGTGACAACCGCAAGAATGAATGATATTCATAGTAAGGACTACGTTTTACTTACCATGCTACTAAAGTAGAAACCAATGGTGGTGAAGTAGAATGATAACATCCTATAGAAGTCAAACCGGCGTCCAAGCCTGTATACATCACGGCTAAGCGTTTGTTCACCATTTCCATTTGCAACCTTTGCTTCAAAAAGAGATATTTGATTCATCCCCACATCACGTCCCTTGCCCACTTGAATATATTCATGATGTGTCACATACCCTCCTCGTAATGTTGAATTGTAACCTGAAGAGTTGACCCAATAAAACACTGAACGGAACTTGTAAAAGTGCAGTTTGTGCAAAGAATTTGACCTGAGAATATGTCTTCACTCAAGTTAATAGTTTTTGAGGCTTTACTTATGCCACCTCTTGTCAAGTGAAAGATCCTGTCAAATATATCAGGATGGCCATAGTGGAACCTCACCCTGTGAAGCAAAGCCTGTTAACTCTTTCAATATTCAATCTTTATCCTTCAGGAATTTATAATACATGTGAAATTGCATCTAATGTAGTCAGTCAAGAAAATATGAGAACACATCGATATGAATGCCATCTGTTATATGTACCATATAAAATCAGTATAGAAGTCCGGATAGGAAACAAATCCTAACCTTAAAGGGCTTGCCATAACTCTCTGTCCAATAGTTACAAAACTAGTCTCCTGATTGGACATGAACCATGCGAGTGAAGAGACACTAGAAATCATAAAAAGGGCAAGTAAGAACTCCAAAATAGGTGTGAGAATCTCATACTGATTAGTATCAACTTCAATGCAAACCTTCCAGTAAAAATGTGCTCCCTCAATCCTAATATTGTTGGCCTACGTTGCCCGTGATGAGTTTTCGTGAACTCCTCCAATACATTTCTCATTTTGAATGCTTCTTCATAATAGTTATCCTGCAGAAAGAAAAGGATAAGATTTCTGAAAAATCTTTGGAGAATGTAACCGATCAATTCTTTGGTAGTGCATATAAACGCAGAGGACAAAGGGGAGCGGAGACAGTTAACAATCAAAGTGGCTAAGGGAAAGATTAAGCAAGCCGTGAGAGTCATATTAGTATTAGTATTATTTAATTAGTCCTGCCTTAATTAGTATGCCTTAATCAGTATTCCTTTATTAGAGTTCTGTTAGAATAAGCAACTTAGTTTCCTAATTGTTTTTAGGAAACCCTTAATATCTATTTAAGGGGATCCCAGTAATTTTCATAAACAGCTTTTGGTTAATTAATTATGAGATCTCTTGACAAGATCGGAGACCAGTAATTATACGACTAAGCCTCTAGTTTTCGTTCATCTCCAGTCAATTAAAATAGCTTCAAGTATTTCATCGTTTACCTGCGGCCATTCTCGTTCACGACCTTGGACAAGGTCGCTAGCTCACACACTTAACAACTTGGTATCAGCTTCTGGGACGATGGGGACCGAGTCTACTTCTGCGGAATCCTTGAAAACCATGATTGAGAGTGTGGACCAACGACAACTGGCTCTGGAAAAACAATTAGCGTATTTACAGACAGCTATGGTGCAACTGGCCACCCTTCCAGCGGCGATGGAGGCTCTATCCGCAGCGGTGCACAAAGCAAACGGGGAAACTTCTTCCAGTTCACCCCAGTTCGAACGCAGAAGGGACGTCGACTATTCATGCCGTGACAACGAAGAATCCTTAATTCCCAGATTTTCGAAGCTTGAGTTTCCACAGGACGATGGGAAAGGCGATCCCCTGTCATGGCTCAAAAGGTGCGAGAGCTTCTTTATTCAGAAACGAATGCCCACACAAGCTCGCGTAAGTCTGGCGACCTTCCATATGACCGGTACCGCCCAGTTGTGGGCTAATCAATTGGATACGGGCACTTCACCAATTTCTTGGACCGACTTCTACAGTCCCTGCACAAAACACTTTGGCCCACCAAGTAGCTTGAACCCAGAAGGCGATCTGGCAAAACTACAACAGACTGGCGAATTGGAGAATTATATCGAAACATTCCATCAAATGTTGGCTCGAACTGTGGGAATTTCTATCCGGATGCAAGTAAAAATGTTCACTGCTGGCCTGCGTGAGGTTGTAAGCTTGGAGGTCGAATACCAGGATCCTCTTGACCTAGATTCTGCAATGATGCTGGCCAGGACCGTGGAGCGCAAATACAGTGTAGGCTATTCTTCGCCTGCCCTACCGATACGGCCACAATCAATTGCCCGTTCAGAATCAAATTTACCTCGGCGCACCTCCAATCCACACTTCAAAAAGATTTCTCGGGCAGAAGCTGTGATTCGCAGAGAAAAGGGCCTTTGTTATAACTGTGACGATCCATGGGTTCACGGCCATCTATGCAAGAAATTATTCTTTATCGACATTATAGAGGATGACCAGTCCGAAGAGCAGTTTGAGCCAGCCCTATCTCTTCATGCTATGACTGGAATCAGGTCCATTTCTAGCATGCAGTTAGACGCCACCCTTAATAACACACCCATCACAATTCTGGTGGACTCCGGCAGTACCCATAATTTTATCCATCAAAGCCTAGTTCAGGACAGTAAACCTTCAATGCACCAGAAATCATGTCTTCATGTTCTAGTAGCCAATGGAGATCGGGTACCTATTTTGGGCACATGTCCTCGACTTGACTTTGTAGTGGACGAAAGAACATTTACAACTGACTTTTATGTGCTTCCGTTGGCCGGATTTGACATGATATTGAGCGTTCAGTGGCTTTGCAATCTTGGCGCAATTGAATGGGGTTTTTCACGCCTTTTCATGCGCTTCAGATGGCAGAACACGCCCGTGGAATGGCATGGCCATGCTAGCACACCTACACTTCAGGCCCACATGATTACCACGTCATCTCCCAAATTGGAAAGCCTCCTTGACCTAAGTAGCACAGAAACGGGAAACGGGAAACGGGAAACGCGAGAAACGTAATTTCTAAAAATTTAGGACAAAACGTGGGGGAAACGCGTAAATATTATAAAATATAAGGATATATTTATAAATATTTTCTAATATATGTACACAAGTTTTTCCATATGCACATGTTTTTTTAATATAATTTGTTTAGTAACCAAATAATAAAATCACTCTACATGTTCGAATTTAGACATTATTTCATATTAGTACATAATTAAACCTAAAATGTACGGAGTAATACATTTCTAGCAATACATTGCGTTACGAAATGTAACAAGTGTTGCCGCTGAGAAATACCACAAAAATTCACTATAAAAATATATTTTCCACCACAGAATCTTTTGAAAAAGAAAAAAATTGGAATCCAAGGTTTCCGAAACGTAGTGAAACGGGTTTCCAAATTTTTCTTAATTACGGAAACGGCCCCGAAACGGGAATTTGAAGTTTCCGAGTTTCCGAAACGTGGAAATGTGAGCCATGGAGAGTTTCCGTGCTTCCTAGTCCTTGACCAATTTGAAGACATTTTCCGTTTGCCATCCGGGCTGCCACCTACACGTGCGTGTGATCATAAGATCACGTTGTTTCCCGGAACTAGCTTGTTAGTTGTTCGTCCTTACCGTTACCCCTACTTCCAAAAAGATGAGATTGAGCAGCAATGTTCTGTGATGCTCCAACAAGGTATCATCCGGCCAAGCCAACTCCCTTTTCATCACCCGTCCTTCTTGTTAAAAAAACTGAGGGCACACGGAGGTTTTGCGTTGACCACAAAGAACTCAATTCCAGAACCGTTAAGGACATGTTTCTGATTCCTGCCTTTGACGAGTTGCTGGACGAACTTCATGGATCCAAATTCTTTACAAAACTTTACTTGCGCTCAGGCTACCATCAGATCCGCATGGCAGAAGAGGATATAAAAAAGACAGCTTTTCAGACGCATCGGCCACTTTGAATTCTTAGTCATGCCGTTTGGACTCACCAACACACTGCCCACATTTCAGAGCTTAATGAACGACATCTTTGCACCATACCTTCGCAAATTTGTCCTCGTCTTCTTCGATGACATACTCATTTATAGCAAGTCTTGGGTCGAACACGTTTATCATGTCCACCTTGTATTGGAAACATTGCGCACTCATGGCCTTTCGTTAAAGAAGTCCAAATGAAGTTTTGGCACACCGCAAGTCCAATATCTCGGTCATATTATCCATAACAAAGGCATTGAGGCGGATCCGGCCAAACACCAAACCATCACGGAATGGCCAACACCCCGATCAGTCACAACCTTACGCGGTTTTTTGGGCTTATAAGTCCATATTTAGACACGCATTTGATGCGTGTTGGGATCGGCTATTGATGGTTTTCCTAGATTTAAGGTGTTGCAAGTCTCAATTTTAGCTCAAGTTTTGTTTACCGGGTGTTGGTTCGAGTTTTGTGTCATTTGGAGTCAAAATCTGGGAATTTGAGCCCGACACCGGCGCTTGAGAAGCAATTGGAATGAGTTGAGAAGCATTCGAGAGTGAATTGAGAGCATTGGAGGTCACCGGGAGGTTCACGATAAAGATTTGATGGCAAAAGAGCTATAGGATTGGCTACGGGATCAAAAGAAGATGAAAAGAGCTTGAAAACGGCGATCAAGATGACCATCTGTCAATCGTTCAAGCATCTCTCTTTGTAGAAACATCCAAAGGACACGATTCAAGTTCCACATGAAAGCTAACTTCAAGGGCTACAAATCATATGAAGACACATTTGCGAGAATCTGAAAGGAAGAAGGTGAAAACAGACAATGAAGTCAGATGATCCCTGTTGCGATTTCAGAATGCGACCTTCCACCATTTTATTCATATCTCTTGATTGAATGATTCAAATCCAATTCGGAAAATTGTGGTGGATAGAGGACTTCATTATCTACAACTTTTGTGAAGGAAGCATCGTCAAAATCGGAAGTTAAGTAGGCACGATCGTGCGCTCAAAGTTAGGCACGATCGTGCGCTCAAAGTTAGGCATGATCGTGCGTGAAGAGAAAACACCGTGGAGCTACTGTCAGTCAGGCACGATCGTGCCTGGAAGGAGGCACGACCGTGCCTGCCCAAAACACGCAATTTTGCTCCGGAGGCACGGTCGAAGGCACGGTCGTGCCTGGCACCATGCTTGCCTCCGGAAAATCCTATTTTCGCCCGGATTACCCAGCTTTTGTCCCAGTTCAGCCCAAACTCATCTGTTTTCTATAAATAAGGCCTCCCTTCTCCTGTTTAAGGGTTACGAACATTACGGAGAGGCCGAGGGACGAATTTATTCATTGTTTTCCGCTATTTTACTCCAAGACCTTGAGATTATTTGTAAGTGCATCTTTTTAGTTAATGACAATTAATTCTATTCTTCTCAATTCTATTGATTCTTCAATTATGAATTGTGAGTAGTTTAATTAGGGATTTGGGGTTCATGAAGGAGTTAATCATGATGTATGGCTAGATTCTTGATGGTTTAATTGCATGAATGCCATTTAATTTGTGTTTGAATATTTTAACTAATATCTATTGTAACCTAGACTGCAGCTAGAATTACAATTGCATGTAGAATAAATTAAGAGAGATCTAATTTGTTCTAGGACACATTCACACACACTTAATCGCTCGCTAAGAGATTAGTAACGATTAAAGGGCCGTAAGCTCGCTCGTCTTGGCAATAATTTAGGATCCTGTCGCATGAGAGATCAGCCTGGTCCCCTAAATTATTGTACTCTACGCCGTGAGAGCGGTAAGAACTTAGTAATGATTAGCTAGGCTCAATTGAATTAAATTCATGTAATTAGACCTGATCTGCCAGAAATCTGATTACCCCGAAATCAATCCCTGTTCCCTTCGTCGTTAATTAGAAAGAAACCAAACCTTATTTTTATTCGTTCATTCACATTAGTTAGTTTTCATTCCAATCATATCTCGCACGACGCATTTATTTTATTTCTTTTTAATTGCTGAATTTAATTAATTCTTGATTCCCTTTTGTCCGTCCCTGTGGAGACGATACTCGTACTTACACAACTATATTAAGTGCGAGAAAACTCACATCATGGGCCTAACTGGTTATTACTGCAAGTTTATTCATCATTACGGGGAGATTGCTGGACCACTCACACAATCGCTAAAGAAGGGTGCCTTTTCCTGGAACGACGCGGCAGAACAAACATTCCACGATCTCAATCGGTGCCTTTCCTTGGCCCCAGTTCTCCAATTACCTAATTTCGAGAAAGAATTTGTCGTCGAATGTGATGCCTCAAGATCTGGTTTTGGGGCAGTATTGCAACAAGGCCATCCCATCGCATATGTTAGTCGCAAGATTGCTGCCCGCCATGTTAAGCTCGCAGCTTATGAACGGGAATTGATAGGGTTAGCCAAGGCAGTCAGTCACCCATTGGCGAACGGATCTGAATATCTTATCTGGATAGATCATTCCACCTTGAAACATTTACTGGATCAACGGCTCACTACGTCTCCGCAACAACATTGGCTGAGTAAATTAATGGGCTTTAATTTCCGGGTGGAATACAAACCGGGACGCTTCAATACTGTTGCAGATGCCTTGCCTCGCCAACATGAAGATGTTATGAATCTGGCCGTCCTCACCATTCCCTTCAATACTCTCCTCAGCGAAATATGGTTTGAACAAGCTGTTTCCCCCCATTATGAACAATATCCGTCACCCCATTATGAACAATATCCGTCAGGAAATCCAAGAGGGAAAGCGCGACTCTGATTGGGAACTCCGAGATGGCTTATTCTATTATCGCTTCATACTCTATCTGTTAGAAACATTTGAAGTGGTTCAGACTGTGCTCTTGGTATGTCATAACATGGCTCATGAGGGTGTTGAAAAAACTCTTTAACGACTACGACAGGAGTTTTATTGGACTGGAATGAAGACTGCGGTGGCCAACTTTGTCCGGGATTGCCAGACATGTCAAAAGCAAAAATGGTTAACGTTACAACCGGCTGACTTATTACAACCTCTGCCCATTCCGCACCACATTTGGGCAGATATTTCTATGGATTTCATTGAAGGCTTACCCAAGGTTCGAAATAAATCGGTAATCCTGGTCGTTGTTGACAGACTCTCTAAAGCCGCTCATTTTATCCCTTTAGCTCACCCATATATGGCAGTTTCCGTGGCTAACATATTTTTTTCTGAAATATTCCGTCTTTATGGACTACCAAAATCCATTGTTTCTGATCGTGACAAAGTCTTTATGAGCACTTTCTGGCGAGAGTTATTTTTCCTATCTGGCACTAAACTTGTTTACTCCTCTGCCTACCACCTGCAGACACATGGTCAAACGGAGGTTGTTAACCGCATGGTCGGGTGCGGTCGGGTTATTTTTGCATTGTATCACGAGCGATTATCCCAAAGAATGGGTTCATTGGCTGCCTTGGGTGGAGTATTGTTACAATACGTCTTACCATTCATCTCTGGGGGACGCACCATTTCGTATGGTTTATGGCAGGGACCCACCCCTGGGACAGCTAAAGTGGACGGCGCTGATCGGGAGCTACTTGATCGTGATGATCTTCTCAAACGCAAATGACAGATTGTCTCAAGCACAACAGAGAATGAAAAATCAGTTTGATAAAGGTCACCACGAGCTTTCTTTTGAAACCGGTGCTTGGGTCTGGCTCCGTTTACAACCATATCGTCAACTTACAATAGGACGGGGGAATTCCAAACTGTTACAAAAATATTTTGGTCCATTTCAAGTCTTGGAGTGAATTGGACAGACTGCTTACAAGCTCCAATTGCCAGCCGCAGCTCGTATACATAATGTTTTTCATGTATCCCTTCTCAAGCCACACCAAAGACCTCCTCCAGAGTCAATGGGCAGTCTGCCGCCAGCACCTTGCACTCTGGGCACCACTATTCCTGAGGCAGTTCTTTGCAGCCGCTTTCTAACTGGCAGCTGGGAACTTTTTGTTCACTGGCAGGGACAACAATTGAACGAGGCAACATGGGAACCACTCACTTCATTCCAAGCACAGTATCCTACTTTCAAGCTTGAGGACAAGCTCTTTCTGAAGAAGGGGAGTAATGTTATCCATCAATTCTTTGGTCGCACATATAAACACAGAGGACAAAGGGGAGCGGAGACGATTAACAATCAAAGTGGCTAAGGGGAAGATCAAGCAAGCCGTGAGAGTCATATTAGTATTAGTATTATCTAATTGGTCCTGCCTTAATTAGTATTCCTTTATTAGAGTTCTGTTAGAATAACCAACTTAGTTTCCTAATTGTTTTTAGGATACCCTTAATATCTATTTAAGGGGAACCCAGTAATTTTAATAAACAGCTTTTGGTTTATTAATTATGAGATCTCTTGACTAGGTCGGAGACCAGTAATTATACGACTAAGCCTCTAGTTTTTGTTCATCTATTCCCAGTCAATTAAAATAGCTAATTTCATCGTTTACCTGCAGCCATTCTCGTTCACGTCCTTGGACGCGGTCGCTAACTCACACACTTAACAGAATGATAAAGGTACTCATACCTGATTCATGTCTATGGTCTGAAGGGCTTCTCCACGAGTGAAAATAATGGCATGATTTTGATTTTCAGGCTTTCCTTCACCAATTACTACTGGAGGACCAGGAAGCTTGATTCGATATATTTCCTATTTTTCAGCACTATGTCAGGATTGCTAAAAGCAATGGAAATAGTATACTATTTAAAAGTAAGGGATCTACTTAACCAGCAGTTGTAGAGGACATCATGCCAGATTTACGTCACTGGTCTTTCTAAACATGATACTTAATACTCCCTCCATCCCATTTTGTAAGATACACTTTCCTTTTTCGGTTGTCGAAAAAATAGGAACACTTTCTTAAATTGGACTCCATTAACTTTTTACTTTCCCACTTTATCCCTTTATCTATGATTTCCCTCTTTACTTTTTGTGAAATCATTTTTCTCTTTGTTACTTTTTGGAGGTTATAATTGAAAGCAACCGCTTTTATCCTTTATTTTCTTAAAACCCGCACTAAACCTACATGCATCTTACATTATGGGACGGAGGTAGTACTTTTTTCATGACTATAAAGTTAACTCATACCTCATCCAACTTATCTCCTCCCTTGACAAGAACGGAGTAGTAAAACTTTTCTTCTTTATCGTCAACTGTCTCTCCCTTTTCATCTATATAAGCAACACGCAATGATGGATGCCTGGTATTCCAAGATTACAAATTCTATCAGCCCTTCCAAAATTTTTATCGTTATATCTAAGTGGACAGTGAGAACTTTGAGAAATGAAACTCACTCCAACATGAGATTAAGAATATTTGCGTAAAGATTATGCTCTTTTGCGTCCTTGGATTTCTTCTGACTACCATACAACTGACAAGAGACAATATAGGTGAACTTCAAATCTGCCCATGCCTTTTCTACTTCATTCAGTCCAGACTCAGGATTATTTATATCCATTGTACGACGATAGCCGCCAAATATATCTGCCAAGGAGACGTTGAAAGGTTATTGATATAGACCACCATTCTCAACTAGGACACATCATGTGCTGAAAGTAGAACTAACTGGTAAACAAAATTGATTAATAAGTCACAGCACTAGATCTCAACGGAAGTCACCTTTATCATCCACATTCTCAAGGAAGTACTGAAGCCCAATAGCTTTCCTATAGTACATCATTCCTCTTACTGAAAATCACGCAAAAACATAAAGAAAAAGGAAGATGTAAGGAATCAACAACTACACAGACATGTACGTGGCCTCATTTAAAAGAGCAGTGCAAGTCAAACCAGTTCTGGAAAGTGTCTGGCCTCTGTAGGAAACCCATTGCCGAGTGAGTTCAATGACTTCAATCTCCTTCTCATCACCCGGTTTAAGGTGTAGTTTGTCAATGCGATCCTGAAAGTTCTTCCATTCATCTAGTTTGGTAGAATAACATTAGAAGAGTCAGGGCAACTTCAATGCAGCGAAACTGTATATCAACTAGCAAGGGGGCCTGATAATACAAAAAAAAACCTATAATGGTTCAGAACTCACCTGGATAGATCTTCTGAAGGTAAAAGAGAGTTGATATGCCATCTTCATTTTCCTTGTTAAGTTCATCCATAGAATACTTAACTTCCTCTTTATAATATGGAGTTAGAACACTGAACAGGGAGGGGGATATTTAAATTATTACGAGTCACAATACACATATGAAAATACACCTAGACAGTGATCCCATATCTAACAACATTACCCCAGTGCCACAGAGGCTCCCATCTGCGGTAAGGTAAGGGGGTGGTCAGATGTATGCAGCCTTACCATACTTGTCACGACACCACGGCGGTAAGTCGAGGTCCCGAGGAGCCAGCTGACCGCCATATCGCCTTGGCAAAAAGGCGCCTGTCTAGGCGACAATTAAGCGACTAGTTGCACATTATATAATACTACCTCCGTCCCCCTAAGTTTGGGACAAGAGAAGGTGGCACGGTTATTAATAAAAGTGAGTTTTTGTGGTTGATATTGAATTGATAAAATAGAATAAAGTAGGAATGATTTAGAACCACACAAACTTTACCAAATAAGGTATGGGACAATCTTAGTGGGACGGACCGAAAAGGTAAAATGGGACAATAATAGTGGGATGGAGGGAGTATATTATATATAACATATTACTAATTAAAGTGTATATAACTTAGAATTGAAACCCACAGTTAATAATTGAAACCCACCAATAATAAATCTTTATTCATTCTATAGTAAATAACAATTGTATAATAACTATGACCACACTTTAAAAAAAGTTAAACTAGTACATATATCACATACTTGTATACGTAATTATATACTCCCTCCGTCCCGAAATGAAGTTCCCGGTTTGACCTACACACATATTTATGTGAGGTAAAGTTTTGTTTTGACTTTCCAAGTGTGAAAGAATTATTGTATATAAGAATATGCTTTAGGAATATACTCTAGACATTATTATAGTATAGCATCTTATGTAGGAATATTCCTTCTTTGTAACCTATATATAGGGTCTTAACCCTCTTATATTATACACAGAAAATTCTTCCACTCTCATTACTATTATATGCTTAATTCTGATAACATGGTATCAGAGCCTTAGGAAAGATTTAGTTCCTTTTTTCTTTTAGATTTCAGCTTAGTTTTTCAGACTGGGTTCTTTCTCAAAGAAACCTGATTTCAGTTCAGACTCTCCAGAACCTCTAGGCACCATTCTGTCTCCCAGAAATTCACTCCAGGACAGATTTTTTTTTTAGCCCCCCTCTATTCAGAACCTTTGTGCAGACCATATACCCCATCTGTGCCAAGTGCTCGCAGTCTGCAGTTCCAAATCAGCACCCAAGTCAGACGCGCCTCTGGAGGTCCTCGCCCAAGCCGACATTTACCAAGTCGCGTAACACCTCTTTTCTGGCCAAAGAGTTGATCGGAACTCATCAATAGGCTCGCCTGAGAGTCATCTACCACCAGGTATACATTACTTCTCTCCCGTTCTCTGGGGTCTGGTGGTTTGTCGCTCGCGTCGCACATCTGTGGAAATATCGCTGGTCGCTGGGGTCTGCTAGTGGATATCTGTCGACATACGCGCGATATTCATGTGGCTGATTATTCACTAGGGTCTGGCATCTAACTTCTGTCTGGAGTAGCAGTCAAAGCCCGAACATATCTTTTGTTCTCCAGCCCAAAACGGGCTGCTGTAAGTTTTCATTAAATTAAATATCTCAATTTTCAATTTTATTACAGTTTCAGAAAAAAAAAAAATGCCTGGTTCTGACACCTCCACTGTAACACAAAGTCAGCCTTTGATAGTTTCTGAAGTTATTCCCATTAATTTTAAAATTATTGAGAATAAACTTTGTGGCTCTAATTATCTTGAATGGAGTAAAACTATCAAACGCTATTTAAGGAGCATTGATAAACATACTCACTTAGTTGATGACCCGCCAAAGGAGGAGGTTGATAGAGTTGCTAATACTGCCTGGCTTCGTGACGATTCTAGATTATTTATCCAAATTCAAAACTCAATGGAGAATGAGGTAATGGGGTATGTTAGTCATTGCGATACTGTGAAAGAATTGTTTGATTATTTGGAATTTATGTACTCTGGAAAAGGTAATCTTAACCACATCTATGAGGTGTGCAAAGCCTTTTACAGAGCGGAAATGAAAGATAAGCCTCTCACGGCTTATTTTATGGATTTCAAGAAAACCTATGAAGAGCTGAATACATTAATGCCATTTAGTCCTGATATCAAAGTGCAGCAAAAACAAAGAGAACAAATGGCAGTGATGAGTTTTTTGGCTGGTCTAACATCTGAATTTGAAACAGCCAAATCACATATCTTATCTAGTGATGAGGTCTCTTCTCTTCAAGAATCTTTCACTAGAGTGCTTCGCACCGATACTTCATCCACGCCAGTAGCACCTCAGTCAGACAGTGCATTTGTAGGGCAAGTTCCAACGCTTACCCAAGGAGGTGAGAAATGGCCACGTACTGGTCCATCTGGCAAAGGCATAGTATGCAACTACTGTAAAAAGCCTGGACACTTGATCAAAGATTGTAGAAAATTAAAATTCAAAAATCAAGGAAATCAAGTTGCTCACATTGCTTCCGCTACAAAGTCTTCTGATGGATCAATCAATATGTCGTCTGAGGAATACGCCAAATTTCTTTGCTACCAAGAGACTCTAAAGCATTCATCTACTCGTATCTCAGCTGTCGCTAATTCAGGTAATCCAAACACATGTCTTGTTTCTTCATCCTCAAAATGGGTCATCGACTCAGGAGCAACCGATTATATGACAGGTAATCCTAATCTTTTTTCTTCATTCCACACACCTCTTCATACTTCTACTGTCACTTTAGCTGATGGGTCTACCTCCCCAGTCTTAGGATCGGGAACAATTGTCCCAACATCCACCTTACCTTTGTCACCTGTCCTAAGTCTTCCAAACTTTGCTTTTAATCTGATTTCGATCAGTAAAATCACGCGTAAACTAAACTGTTCTGTAACTTTTTTTCCTGGATATTGTGTATTTCAGGATCTGTTGATGAATCAGATTATTGGTAAAGGATATGAGTCGGCTGGTCTCTATCTTTTGGACACATCCTTACCTAAAACCATCTCCTGTCTTGGGGTTGGATCTGTGTTAGAGGCTCACTATCGACTGGGACATCCATCTCTCCCTTTGTTGAAGAAAATTCATCCTCAATTTAATAAGGTGTCGTCTTTACAGTGTGATTCGTGTCAATTGCAAAACATCATCGTACTAGTTTAAGTCCTCGAGTCAATAAACGAGCACATGCTCCTTTTGAACTTGTTCATTCTGATGTTTGGGGTGCTTGCCCCGTTGTGTCTAAAATTGGCTTTAAATATTTTGTTACCTTTGTTGATGATTATTCTCGTATGACTTGGATTTACTTTATGAAACGGCGTTCTGGGTTGTTTTCTCATTTTTGTGCCTTTTGTGCTGAAATAAAAACTCAATTTAATGTTCCTGTTCGTGTTTTAAGAGGAGACAATGCTCAAGAGTATTTGTCTGCCTCGTTTAAGTTGTATATGGCTCAACATGGTATAATTCATCAAACTTCATGTGTAGACACGCCTCCTCAAAATGGTGTGGCTGAACGAAAGAACAGACATCTTTTAGAAACTGCGCGTGCGCTTCTTTTCCAAATGAATGTGCCTAAACATTTTTGGGCGGATGCTGTGTCTACCGCATGTTTTTTGATCAATCGAATGCCATCTACTGTTTTGGACGGTAAAACTCCGTATCAGTGCCTATTTCCAAATAATGAACTTTTTCCTATACCGCCTAAAATATTTGGTTGCACTTGTTTTGTTCGCGATGTTAATCATCATTTAACAAAGTTAGATCCCAAGTCATTAAAGTGCATTTTCTTAGGTTATTCTCGAGTTCAAAAGGGGTACAGATGTTTTTGTCCAAGTACAGGTCGATATATTGTTTCGATTGATGTCTCATTTTATGAGAATACACCTTATTCATCCCCAGAGGCAGATATTTGTAGGGAGAATGATGATATACTCATTTACACAGTCACCATACCTGAGTCCACTGCTTCGGAAATTACTCCACATCCTACCGTTCCCGACCCCAGGCCTCCAATACAATTGGTATACACCCGTCGACACAAAGCACCAGATCTTCCCCCGCCTGTGATTCCTTATCCTGATATTGATCCGATCTCGACCTCATGTCCTGAACCAATAACTGCATCTCCAGATCCTGTCTGTACATTAGATCTTGACCTCCCGATAGCACTGCGCAAAGGTACACGATCTTGTACTCATCCTATTTCTTCTTTTGTGTCGTACAGTCAGTTATCATCTACCTCATGCTCTTTTATTGTCTACATTGATTCTATTTCTATTCCCAAATCTGTTAAAGAAGCTTTGGCTCATCCGGAATGGCGTCTTGCCATGATAGAAGAAATGAATGCTTTGGATCTTAATGGTACATGGGATTTGGTAGACTTGCCTACAGGGAAGAAATCTATTGGATGTAAGTGGGTCTTTGCTGTGAAGGTCAATCCAGATGGATCTATTGCTCGGTTGAAAGCTCGATTAGTTGCGAAGGGTTATGCTCAAACCTACGGTGTAGATTATTCTGACACTTTTTCTCCTGTCGCTAAATTAACATCTGTCAGGTTACTTATTTCACTCGCAGCAACTCATGGTTGGCACTTGCATCAGTTAGACATTAAAAATGCATTCTTGCATGGTGACCTTCAGGAGGAAATTTATATCGAGCAACCTCCAGGGTTTGTTGCTCAGGGGGAGTATGGGAAAGTTTGTCGACTTCGCAAGTCTCTTTATGGTTTGAAACAAAGTCCGCGTGCATGGTTTGGGAAATTCAGTCAATCAATTGAACAGTTTGGAATGAAAAAAGGACAATCAGATCACTCTGTCTTTTACAGACAAACGCAAGCAGGTATCACATTGCTTGTGGTGTATGTTGATGATATTGTGATTACAGGGAGTGATAATGCAGGTATCTTGGCCCTAAAGAATTTTCTGCACAGCCAATTCCAGACGAAAGATCTTGGCTCATTGAAATATTTTTTGGGAATTGAGGTAACACGAAGTAAGAAAGGCATATTTCTATCTCAACGAAAATAT